TCTAAGGTATCCATAATGTCAGAATGAATCAACCACAGGGTGGTTCCTGTGACTTGAGGCTGAGCAAGAGAATGGGGGGGCGGGGGGAGACATGGCTTGTGGGGGATGGGTATTACCCTTCAGGCCACTCACTGGGGAGCTCCTGGTTTTGCATGAACCAGCAAACAGAGGAGAGGCAGTGGCCTGTGATGTGGTTTAAGAACGAGAATAAATGATAGCCCCTGTCTTCTCTCAATTCCTGGCAGTATCCAGCTTACCCCTGAATAGTGCCTCTATGGGGATAAAAGTCCCTCTGTCAGAATTTAGACACCATCCTATCAAGTTAACTGGATTGGAATCCAGAGCTCATCTCTTATAAGCTCTGTGATCTGGGGGAAATCAGTTACTTTTTCTGTGTCAGTAATTTCCCCTCAAGAAAAAGGTAGCACACCAAAATGATTTCGTTAAAGAGAGCTGGAGACCCAGGAATGCTGGTGGTGAGTCCCAGTCCTAGTGTGAAGGGCTGAGAATCAGGAGAGACAATGGTGTCATTCCAGTCCAAAGGCTGGCAGCCTTGAGACTCAGAAAGCCCTAATGTTTTATGTCCCAAAGCAGGAAAAAAACCCTCATGTCCCAGCTTAAAGGTTGTCAGGCAGGAGGAATTCCTTCTATTCATAGGAGGGCCAGCCTTTTTGTTCTATTTAGGCCTTCAACTGATTGCATGTAGCTCACCCACAATAGAGAGGGTAAGCTGTGTTACTAAATCTATCCATTTAAACGTTAATATTGGGTTGGGTGTGGTGGCTCACACCTGTAATCCCAGCACTTTGGGAGGCTGAGGCAGGCAGATAACCTGAGGTCAGAAATTTGAGACCAGCCTGGCCATCATGGTGAAACTCCATCTTTACTAAAAATACAAAAATTAGCTGGGCATGGTGTTGTGCACCTGTAATCTCAGCTACTCAGGAGGCTAAGTCAAGAGAGTCACTTGAACTTGGGAGGCGGAGGTTGCAGTCAGCCAAGATTGCGCCATTGCACTCCAGCCTGGGTGACAGAGCAAGACTCCATCTCAAAAACATTTTAAAACCTAAAAAATGAAATAAAAACTGGTACTGGGTTTTGCAAGAAATAGCAAGTCATGGGCCAGGCGTGGTGGCTCACGCCTGCAATCCCTGCACTTTGGGTGGCCGAGACGGGTGGATCACGAGGTCAAGAGATCGAGACCATCCTGGTCAACATGGTGCAACCCCGTCTCTACTAAAAATACAAAAAATTAGCTGGGCATGGTGGCGCGTGCCTATAATCCCAGCTACTCAGGAGGCTGAGGCAGGAGAATCGCCTGAACCAGGAGGCGGAGGTTGCGGTGAGCCGAGATCGCGCCATTGCACTCCAGCCTGGGTAACAAGAGCAAAACTCCGTCTCAAAAAAAAAAAAAAAAGAAATAGCAAGTCACCCTGAAGTTATAATTGCATGGCATTTACAGTAAAGGGGATTGTAGATTATATTCTTGTTCTTTGAAAACTGTGTGGTACATATCCTTTATAATCAGTGAAACTATAAAACTTTTTGTGAACACGTGTTTATACACAGACACACGTTGTTCCCCTTGGAGAGCCAGTTGTAAAACACGTATCAGCACATCACCGTGTAGAAAGCACACGTACTTTGGATCCTGTAACAGTCGTGTTCTGACCCGGGTCGTTACTGCTTGTGTGACCTCGGACAAGTAATTTCCCTCTTTGTTTATTTGTTTTTGTTTTTGAGGTGGAGTGTACTCTTGTTGCCCAGTGCAATGGAGTGATCTTGGCTCAGTGCAACCTCTGCCTCCCAGGTTCAAGCGATTCTCCTGCCTCAGCCTTCCAAGTAGCTGGGACTACAGGCACATGCCACCATGCCCAGTTATTTTTTTGTATTTTTGGTAGAGATAGGGTTTCTCCATGTTGGTCAGGCTGGTCTCGAACTCCCAACCTCAGGTGATCTGCGTGCCTCAGCCTCCCAAAGTGCTAAGATTACAGGCGTGAGCCACCGCGCCCAGCCCATGTCCTTTTCTGAATGCTGGTTTTCTCTTCTTTAACATGGGAGCAGTAATAGCTACCTGAGGGAGGCTTTTGGTTGGAGCTTATGAAGATGAGATGGGAAGCACAGACCTGAGCATCTGTATCATGGCTGGCCAGGCATGGTGGCTCACACCTGTAACCCCAGCACTTGAGGCCAAAGCAGGAGTTCCAGACCAGCCTGGGCAACATGGCGAAACAGTGTCTCTACCAAAAAAAAAAAAAAAAAAAAAAATCAGCCAGGCTTTGTGGTGCATACGTGCAGTCCCAGCTACTCAGGAGGCTTAGGCAGGAGGATCGAGGCTGAGCATGGGAGGTCAAGGCTGCAGTGAGTTGTGATTGTGCCAATGAACTCTAGCATGGGTGATAAGAGCGAGACCCTGTCTCAAAATAAAATAAAAACATACATATAACGGCCACCATCAATGTAAAGACCATTTCCACTTGCTGGAGACAGGGTTACTTAGTCTCTGTCTTCTGCAATCCCACTAACGTGACACTTCCTGTATGACCCACCCTATCCCGTCCTCACAGTCTTTTCCCCACTTGCACTGCCCTTTTGTCAAGCAGAAGCTGTAGGGGATCATTTAGTAGGTATTACTCTGAGGTCCCTGCACCTGGGGTTAGGGGAGAGCAAACACTCTCCCAGTGATCTGCTCTGATCCCAGGCACCTTGGAAGAGCACGCAGGGTCCCCGTGAGCTTCTCTAGGGCACGGAGGGCAGCTTGTTCATCACGCGCTCACATGTGTCCTGCGCTGGGGGGCATGTTAGTTTGCTAGGGTGCGGTAACTCATTACCATAAACCCAGTGGCTTCAAACCACAGAAATGGATTATCTCACAGCACTGGAGGCCAGAAGTCTGAAATCAAAGTGTTGGCAGGGTTGGCTGCTTTTGGAGGCTCTGGGGGAGAATCTCTTCCACGCCTCTCTCCTAGCTCCCGGTGGCAGCTGCCATCCTCGCCATTCCTCGGTGTTAGGGATGGAATTTTGTCCTCTCCACACCCTCCATTCCTATGTTGAAGTCCTAAAAATCTGGTGAGGTGTCTCTCACTCATAGTCCCAGCCACTTGGGAGGCTGAGGCAGGAGGACTGCTTGAGCCCACGAGTTCAAGACTAGGCTGGCAATGTGGTGAGACTTCATCTCTACTATTTTTTTTTTTTTTTGAGACAGAGTTTCACTCTTGTTGCCCAGGATGGAGTGTAGTGGCGCAATCTCAGCTCACTGCAACCTCCGCCTCCCGGGTTCAAGCGACTCTCCTGCCTCAGCCTCTCGAGTAGCTGTGTTACAGGCATGTGCCACCATGCCTGCCTAACTTCGTATTTTTAGTAGACAGGGTTTCTTCTTGTTAGTCAGACTGGTCTTGAACTCCCGACCTCAGGTGATCTGCCCGCCTTGGCCTCGCAAAGTGCTGGAATTATAGGTATGAGCCACTGTACCCAGCCCGATTTTTTTTTTTTTTAATTAGCTGAGCATGGTGACCTGTGGCTACAGTCCCAGCTATTTGGGAGGCTGAGACGGGAGGCTGGCTAAAGCCTGAGAGGCAGAGGTTGCAATGAACTGATTGTGCCTGGGTCAGCTCACCGGCTCAGTGAGCTGACTGTACTCCATCTTGGGCAGCAGAGAAAGAGCCTGTTTCAAAGAAGGAAAGAAAAATCACCAGAAGCTAGGCGAAAGGCACAGAAGACATTCTGCCTCACAGCCCTCGGAGGAAACGAAGCCTGCTGGACCATCCTGATCCTGGACTTTTTTTTTTTTTTTTTTTGAGACGGAGTTTCGCGCTTGTTACCCAGGCTGGAGTGCAATGGCTGATCTTGGCTCACCGCAACCTCCGCCTCCTGGGTTCAAGCAATTCTCCTGCCTCAGCCTCCCGAGCAGCTGGGACTACAGGGGCGCACCACCATGCCCAGCTAATTTTTGTATTTTTAGTAGAGACGGGGTTTCACCTTGTTGACCAGGATGGTCTCGATCTCTTGACCTGGTGATCCACCCGCCTCGGCCTCCCAAAGTGCTGGGATTAGGCGTGAGCCACTGCGCCCGGACTTCTTTTCCTTTTTGAGATAGGGTCTCCCTCTGTTGCCCAGACTGGAGTGCGGTGGTACAATCATAGCTCACTGCGGCCTCCATCTCCTGAGCTCAAGTGATCCTCCTACCTCAGCCCCCCACGTAACTGGAACTGTAAGCGTACACCACCACATCTAGCTAATATTAAAATTGTTTTTGGCGACAATGTCTCACTGTGTTGCCAGGCTGGTCTCGAAACCCCTGGGGCTCAAGCAATACTGTCCCCTCAGCCTCCCTGAGTGCTGGGATTACAGGACTGAGACACCACATTCAGTCTTATTATTTCACTTTGGGAGGCATTTTTTCCTCCTAATCAGATGGTTCTCAAACTGTATGTAAGAATTACCTGGGGCAGTGCTCGCTTCGGCAGCACATATACTAAAATTGGAACGATACAGAGATTAGCATGGCCCCTGCGCAAGGATGACACGCAGACTCGTGAAGCGTTCCGTATTTTTTCTTTGAACAAACTATATTATTCAGAGAAGGAACTGGTGGTAATTAAATCTGTGCAGGAAATAATCAATGAAATCTTATGTCTGGCTGCACTTATAGGCAGGCAGAAAAACGAGGAGAAAACATCCAAACCAGTCATGTGTAAAACTTTGACACAGGGAAACCAATCATTTATAGAATAATAGGTACAAAGCTTTTTAAGTTCTATAGAAGATAAGAAATGGCTGTGTTTGGGGACAAATATAAAAACATAACCCTACGCGCTGGGAATTATAACTGACGCATATTCATGTTGCTGTAACAGAATGCATATTTCCTCGTGTTAGTAGCAACATGAAGTTGGATCTTCTCCAGATGCTTTCCAAGGCAGTACCAGAAGTTACAAGCATGTTAGAAAGAAGACGAATTAGTGTCCACTTGAGGGTCAGATGAGAAGTCTTTGAGTCTTATTTGGCAAGAATTATTTTTAATAATTAAACATTAAAACATTACTATGGTAATACATTAAACATGAAAAATAGAGCACAAATAAAATGAAAAATATCAGTAACATTCATAACTGATCATTAGTAACGTTCATACTTACTGTCTTTTTTCCCATATACATGTAAATTCTATGAAAATGGCATATGTGTTTTTATTAAAGTATATTTTTTCATTTGACAACCACTCAGGAACATTTTCCTATGTCAACATATGTTTTATCTATTAATATAAGCATTATTCTTAATGGGTTTATTGTATTCTATCATAAAGCTTTATCATAATTTACTTAACTAATTCTCTCTGGTTGGACATTTCAGTTGATCACAGTTTTTTCTTAATATTTAAAAATGTCCCATAACAATAAATACTTTTGTAACCAAAAAAAAAAAAAAAAAAAAAAATTACCTGGGGCATTTGTTTAAATCATTTCCATGGCCCTGAGCTCACAAAGTCGGAATAGACGGCAGTGGAGACCAGGTATCGTCGTGTTTACCAGGTGCACACAGGTGATGTGGATGCTTTGGGGTCCATGGACCAGTTTTGCAAACACTTGAATATACAGTGACAAGAGCCGATGGTGGAGGGTGTGTCTCATGTGCTTTGTCGCAGCTTCTTTGGTCTCCCTCTTATCTCTCAGCATCTAGAAAACGGAAATTATCTCAAGGACCAGAAAGGTGTTGGCCAGGATGGGAGCAGGCTTGAAAAGCCAGGTCTCATCTCAGAACCCTTAGCTGCATGACATCTTCAGAAGCTCTTAAAACCCTTTAACCAAAGAAGGTCACATTCATAGGCTCTGCAGGTTAGGACTTAGATGTATATTTTGGGGGCCACCTGCCAACCCCACTACATGTGGAACCAAAGGTACTGAGGGACAGATGGACTTTGTTATTACGGAAGCCTTAGAAAATGAACACACCTGGCTTGTGGGGTCACCACTCCCGTCTCTGCCCCCATCTTCACGTTGCCTGCTTCTCTGTGCTTTTTGTCTATCTCCCTGTGCCTCATTCTTATAAGGGTTTGGGGCTCACTTTAAATCTAGGATATACTCATCTTGAAATTCTTAATTTTATGACATTTGCAAAACCCCTCTTTTCAAATAGGTTGCAGTCACAGGTTCTGGGGGTTAGAACGTCCCCATATGTAATTGTGTCATGTAATATATAGACGGGAGACCACGGCAGTGTTATTTCCTCTCCATATTACAGCATTCATGGGGAATGACATTGTGGTTTTGAGCCTCCGGATTGCGGCTGTCTGCAGGCTTGGTCACAGAAAGGGGCCGCCGGACGCCAGCAGCTCTGACTCCTCTCACTGGAGCCCGCAGGCATGCCCCTTTGGTGACACGCCCTCTGTACTGCACACTGCTTGGCTGCTCACCAAGCTGTTCGGAGCTTTCTGCTATGTCCTGGGTAAGAAGGTCTATTCACCCCATGCTTGGGGGCCAGGGATTAAGTGGATGCCAAACAGAGTTCCACCCACCTGCATCAACAGGGGTATGGGTCCTCCTTGTCTGCAGGTGGCTGAGGCGGAGGGGGAGGCTCAGAGCCAGGAGGTGGCTTGCGCAAGGCTGCCCACCTTGGAATCCCGGGGTGTCTGATGGCAGAGTGTGGGCTCCTCCCAGCTCCAACGTGGCCTACTCCTCAGAGGAGAGGTGGGGTATCCAGAGAGAGTGAAGCGGTGGGGTGTCCAGGGAAGGGTCCCCCTCTTGTCACCTGAGTTAGTCCTGGAGACCTTCAGCCTCTGCTCTTTCAGGAATGTCTAAACTCACCTCATATTCCAGGGTGCCAGACCGACTCTCAGTCTTTTTTTTTTTAAATTCCATTTTAGGTTTTGGGGTACATGTGAAGAACATGCAAGACTGCTGCATGGGTACACACATGGCAGTGTGATCTGCTGCCTTCCTCCCCATCACCTACATCTGGCATTTCTCCCCATGCTATCTCTCCCCAATTCCCCACCCCGCAACTCTCTCTTAATCTTAAGGGCTTTCCTATGAAGGACAAATTGAGATAGTCCCATTTTACAGATGAAAAAAGAGAGGCTCCCAGGAATGAAGTGGTTCCATGCCAAGAACAGGCAACTAACTGAGATGCTGTAAGTATGTGGGTCCCCTTAACTTCATTGTTGAAATGCTAATCCCCAAGGAGATGATATTAGAAGTGGGCATGTTTGGGGTGATTAGATTATGAGCCCTCATGCATGGGAGTGGTACTTTTGCATGAGAAGTCCAAGAGAGAGACCCCTGCCCTTGCCACCATGTGGGGTCACAGCAGGAAGATTCCATTTATGAATCAGAAAAAGCGCTCTCGCCAGCCACCTTGCCAGCCTCTGAAGTGTGAGAAATAAAATCTGTGTTGTTTATAAACCTCCCAGCTTAGGGTAATTGTTAGAGCAGACAGAAGGGACTAGGACAATAAGAAATAAATATCTGGGGCCGGGTGCTGTGACTCACGCCTGGAATCCCAGCACTTTGGGAGGCTGAGGCAGGCGGAGATCAGCCTGGCCAACGTAGTGAAACCCTGTCTCTTCTAAAAATACAAAAATTAACTGGGCGTGGTGACACAATCCTGTAATCCCAGCTACTCGGGAGGCTCAGGCAGGGGAATCACTTGAGCCTGGGAGGTGGAGGTTGCAGTGAGCCAAGATTGTGCCACTGCATTCCAGCCTGGACGACACAGTAAAAAAATAAAAAAGAGATAAATATATACTTGGGCCAGGTGAGGCAGCTTACACCTGTAATTCCAGCACTTTGGGAGGTCTAGGTGGAAGAATCACTTGAGGCTAGGAGTTTGAGACCAGCCTGGGCAATATAGTGAGCTGTCTCTATAAAATAAAACCAATAAAATTAGCTGGGCATAGTGGCACAGCCTGTATTTCCAGCAACTCAGGAGGCTAAGGTGGGAGGATTGCTTGAACCTGGGAGGCTGAGGCTGCAGCGAACAGTGACCTAACCCCACTGCATTCCAGCCTGGGCAACAGAGTGAGACCTTGTCTAAAATAGAGAAACGTATATTTGTTTCTGCCCCTGATTTCTGGCACAGAGCTCTTAAAATTCTTGTAACTTCCTGAGTAAGGAGGTGAGAAGAGCATATTTTGTTGTTCATAATTAGCCCCTATCAGCCGTCCCTGAGTTTGTACTAATGAGATGGTCTGGCCGATGGCTGCCAGAGAGGTGAACCCTGTCATCCCAGTGGAATTTTTAGCCTCATGCCCCAAATTCCAAGAGGGGCGAGGAGCTGGAGATTGACTAATCACCAGTGGCCAATGGTTTAATCAATCATGCTGTAAAATAAAAATAAAATCCTAAGGCCCTCCCTTCGCTCCCTCACCACCACCACCCGCCCCTGACTCAATAGGACCCTTTCTTGGCCAAATGGATCCCAGTGAAACCTTAAAATCTGAGCTCCTGGCCGTGACTTGAAGGCAGGTGGTAAAGGCCCTATCATACCCCTTCCCTTGTGGAGTTTAGGAACGGCAGCAGACAGCATTACAGTTAAAATAGAGGTGGTAAGACGGACAACACAGACTTCGTGGTGCTAAGATACCAAATTACACACAAGACCTCAGGCAGGTGCTAAGACGCGTCTACGGGCCTTCGGTCCTGCTATGCAGCATCCCTATGGTAAAACACTCTTTTGTGCAGACTCCAGGTTTTAAGCAGAGCCTTACTCCTTTAACCAACTGCAAGCGAAAGACTCCCTGAATCCATCTATAACCTGTAAGCCCGCCCCTCTTCGAGATATCCCGCCTTTTCAGGCCAAACCAACATATGTCTTCCATGTATTGATTTATGACTTTGCCTATAACTCCTTTCTCCCTAAAATGCATCAAACCAAACTTTTTTTTTTTTTTTGAGATGGATTTTCGCTGTTGTTACCCAGGCTGGAGTGCAATGGCATGATCTCAGCTCACTGCAACCTCTGCCTCCTGGGTTCAAGCAATTCTCCTGCCTCAGCCTCCCGAGCAGCTGGGACTACAGGCGTGCACCACCATGCCCAGCTAATTTTTGTATTTTTAGTAGAGACGGGGTTTCACCTTGTTGACCAGGATGGTCTCGATCTTTTGACCTCATGATCCACTCGCCTCAGGCTCCCAAAGTGCTGGGATTACAGGCGTGAGCCACCGCGCCCGGCCCAAACTTTTTTTTTAATTTTACTTTAAGTTCTGGTATACGTGTGCAGAATGTGCAGGTCCGTTATATAGGTACACATGTGCACCGTCATCTGGGTTTTGAGCCCTGCGTGCATTAGGTATTTGCCCTAACGCTCTGCCTCCCTTTATCCCCCACCTCCCCACAGGCCCTGGTGTGCGATGTTCCCCTCCCTGTGTCCACGTGTTCTCATCGTTCAACTCCCACTTCTGAGTGAGCACATGCAGTGTTTGGTTTTCTGTTCCTGTGTCAGCGTGCTGAGAAGGAGGGCTTCCAGCTTCATCCACGCCCCTGCGAAGGACACGAACTCATCCTTTTAATGGCTGCAGCATCAAACCAAACTTAATCTGACCAACCCTGGGCACACCACAGTCACTTAAATTGTCCCAGAATAACTTCTTTAAAATATTTTACAGGGGCCAGGTGTGGTGCTCATGCCAAAAATTCCAGCACTTTGGGAAGCTGAGGCGGGAGGATCACTTGAGCCCAGAAGTTTGAGACCAGCCTGGGTAACCTAGGGAGACCCTGTCTCTACAAAAAGTTAACACATTTGCTGGGTGTGGGGGCACACACCTGTAGTCCCAGCTACTGAAGAAACTGAGGTGGGAGGATCACCTGAAACCAGAAGGTCGAGGCCGCAGTGAGCCACGATGGCGCCACTGCACCCAGAGTGAGATCTTGACTCCAAAATAAATAAATAAATAAATAAATAAAGTACTTTATAGAGTTTGGTTTTTCTGTTAACAATGCCCAGGCGGGATGGCTCATGCCTGTAATCCCAGCACTTTGGGAAGCCGAGGCTGGCAGATCATCTGAGGTCAGGAGTTTGAGACCAGCCTGACCAACATAGAGAAACCCTGTCTCTACTAAAAATACAAAATTAGCTGGGCGTGGTGGCACATACCTGTAATCCCAGCTACTGGGGAGGCTGAGGCAGGAGAATTGCTTGAACCTGGGAGGCCGAGGGTGTGGTGAGCAGAGATTGAGCCATTATGCTCCAGCCTGGGCCACAAGAGCAAAACTCCATCTCAAAAAAACCCAACAAAACAAAACAAAAATGCCCATGTAAAGGAACATCCACAAAAACCCTAAACAATGGGGTTTGGAGAGGTCCCAGCTTGGTGAAGGCATCCGCAGGGCGCCGTCGCAGAGACAGAAGCTCCTGTACTTGGAACCCTTCTGGACCCCACGTCATGTTCTCCCTCAACTGTAATCTTTATAATCCTCTTTCTAATAAACTGGCACCGAAGTAAAGTGCCCCCTGAGTTCTGTGAGCTGTGATGGCAAATTATTGAACGTCAGGAGGGGTGGGACCTCTGATTTGTAGCCAAGTCACGCAGAAGTGTGGGTACCTGTGGTCCCGGTGCCTGTGACTGTCATGTGAAGTGGGGGGCACTCCCGTGGGGCTGAGCCCTCAACCGGTGGGGGCTGCGCTAACTCCAGGGAGTTATTGTCAGAACTGAAGTGAATTGTTACACACGCAGTTGCTGCCCAGGAGATGGAGAGTTGATGGTTGGTGGGAAGGAAGCCTTGCATCTTTGGTGTCAGACGTGTTATGAGTGGAAAAACAGGGTTTTATTTTCTTTATGTTTTTGAGACGAAGTTTTGCGGCATGATCTCAGCTCACTACAACCTCCGCCTCCTGAGTTCAAGCCCTTCTCCTGCCCCAGCCTCTGGAGCAGCTGGGATTACTGGCATGCGCCACCACGCCTGGCTAATTTTGTAGTTTTAGTGGAGACGGGGTTTCTGCATGTTGGTCAGGCTGGTCTCAAACTTCTGATCTCTGATGATCTGCCCACCTTGGCCTCCCAAAGTGCTGGGATTACAAGTGTGAGCCATTGTGCTCGGCCCTACTTATTTTTTTTTGAGACACAGTTCCACTCTGTCACCCAGGCTGGAGTGCACTGGCATAATCTTGGCTCACTGCAACCCTCACCTCTCAGGTTTAAGCAATTCTCCTGCCTCAGCCTCCCTAGTAGCTGGGATTACAAGCACCTGCCCCCTACCACGCCCTGCTCATTTTTGGGTTTTTGGTAGAGATGGGATTTCATCATGTTGGCCAGGCTGGCCTCCAACTCCTGACCTCACATGATCTGCCTGCCTCGGCCTCCCAAAGTGCCAGGATTACAGGCATGAGCCACTGTGCCCGGCCTGGGATTTTCTTTCAAATCCACGCCTCCCTGGCAGCCCCAGAAGTCCAGGCCACCAGCCCCAGGTCCTGGATCCCCACCGTTAGATCTACGTTCTGAATCTGATTGCCGTGTTTGTTCTACAGAGACTCTTCTGCCCTGACTGTGGTGGAGGCCGATGCAGGAGGCGAGTTGGACAAAGGGAACTTGTGGAGGGTGGGGTTAAGCCGCGGAGCTAAGCCACAAGTGTGAAAGGAAGCTGGGCTTGGGAAAGTTTTCTGTCAGTGCTCGGAATGCAATGGATGCAGCTGAGAATCCAGGGGCCCAGGCCTCATCTTGAGCCCACAGGATGCTAGGCCCACAGCCCCACCTCCCTGAGACCCAGGAGTCCGGGTCCAGCCCCTCCTCCCTCAGACCCAGGAGTCCAAATCCAGCCCCTCCTCCCTCAGACCCAGGAGTCCAGATCCAGCCCCTCCTCCCTCAGACCCAGGAGTCCAGATCCAGCCCCTCCTCCCTCAGACCCAGGAGTCCAGATCCAGCCCCTCCTCCCTCAGACCCAGGAGTCCAGGCCCAGCCCCTCCTCCCTCAGACCCAGGAGTCCAGGCCCCAGCCCCTCCTCCCTCAGACCCAGGAGTCCAGGCTC